ATAATTTTACAAACAAGCGGCACTTCAGAAGAGCCGAAAGGTAGTTGAATTGTTTGTTTTTGGTTTGAGCAGTCCATGAATTTATCTTATTTTTTGTAATGATCAGCTGTGAAAATGAGCGACATCTATGAATCTTGACAATTCCATGGTGATTGTCGAAAACGTTTCGACTATTTCTATCTTATACCTTTTTATTTCGGTAATAAACTTTTTTTTTTTCCCTTCAACATTGAAATTCAGTCTTTTAATAATAATGCGGTCATGGTTAATAGTCCTTTTTACAGTTGTGGGCTTGGTGGCCAAGCCTTTGAAGAGGAGTGAGGCTTAGGGTGACCTTGTTATGATAGAGGTGTTGCTGCTTTTCAAATGCAAATTACTTTGTTATCATGCTAACTAAATACAGGTCTCTATCACAACAGGGTCACTCTTAGCTTCATTCCTGTTCAAAGGCTAGGCCACCAAGCCCACAACTGTAAAAGGGACTATTACTAGCTCAGTTAAACAAGAAGAAACGGGCGACAAATGATGCACGCTGTTACTGTTACGCAATTCTACTTTATTGCGGGTAAATTGCTACAAAAAAGGGGAAGGGGACAATAAAAAGCCTCTAATACTCACGTCTAAAATTTGGAAAGGATGGAACTTTTCATTTCAGTTATTTTTGCGACCTAATTGTGAAAACTTGGTCCCTCCTGCTTATGCAAATTTATTGAGACTTTCGTTCGCTTGTTTACATAAAATATTTCCTTATTTCTTTGATGTTTCGCATGGTTCGTTCTCGTTTACTTCTACTCAGACCTGATGTACGTGGAGTCAGAAAAATTGACCATAGTGAGTAAAACCGAACATATAGCAACCTTCTCAATGAGGGGGGAATTTTCTTCTGAGCACTCTTATATAAGAATATTCTGATAGTCCGCCTTAAATTTTTGTGTTCAAAGCTATTTTCCCCAAAACTCACTACCTAAAGGGTAAAGGAACTTTATGGAAAGCATACATACAACCGATAATAGAATAAAGGGTAACTTCTCAAATATAAAGAAGAGATACAACAGGGAGCCCAGACAAGCGACGAGTCTGGTTGTTTAGTTCGAAATATAAAGGAATGTATGGGAGAATATTGAAGAGTGTTATTATCGTAAACTTATATCATGAACTGTCTGAGTTAAAGCTCAAAATAAATGTAAACCTGCCTCACTTGCTGTGTATTGTCGTTTCTGTGGCTCTAAATGGCAAATTTGAGCGATTTGGTGGGTTTTGCGTCGACTGTTACTATACGTTATAAGAAGGAGACAAGGGTAGAAAGCTCATTTTCGACCGCTCTAGCGCGAAGCCGATTTTCACCCAGAAATAACAATCGCCCGGCTTCGAAATCGAAAACCAGATAAACTGAAAGGTTGACGCTTCTTCTCATCGCATTCAATCGAAGATTCATTCAAAATCCAAGCGCTAACCGCCGAAAAATTTTCGAGAAATGCAGCTTATAACGGCTTCGCGCTACAGCGGTCGAAAATGAGCTTTCCACCCTTGTCTCCTTGTTATAACGTATCGTAACAGTCGACGCAGAACCCACCAAATCGCTCAAATTGGCCATTTAGAGCCACAGAAACGACAATACACAGCAAGTGAGGAAGGTTTACATTTATTTTGAGCTTTAACTCAGACATTTCATGATATAAGTTTACGATAATAAGACTCTTCAATATTCTCCCATACATTCCTTTATATTTCGAATAAACAACCAGACTCGTCGCTTGTCTGGGCTGCCTGTGGAGATACTCCCAAGCTTAGAAATATCAAATCACAGTTATTTGTAATCCACATCACTTTTCTCATTACTAAACCATATTTGTAAGTATTCCTTGTTTGTTGATCGTTTTAGTCATTACGAACTACTCATGGCTATATTTCATGGCTTGCTTTCAATTTCATAGTTTTATTTGGCGCGGTAGAGGAATCCAAATAATGCGACACTCAAGTTGTCCTATAAAAGAACATCAAATTACTATATTTTGACTTTCTTGGAAAAAAAAAATACTTAAAAACGAGTATTTGTATCAGGCTAAGCATGTTGAACTTCCACGTTAAAATTATCACCTAATGTTCAGTATTTGCATGTTTTAGTTACTTTTCCCATAATATTGCGAAGCGATATCGACAACAATGATTCACATAAACGTCAGCTGTAACGGACACGATTTTTTTTTATGGTTAGACATTACAAGAACTATGAAAACGTAACGGTGTAAGTTTTTCTCGCTGTTAGTGCTCCAAGGGGGATTTGATGTCAAGCTGAGACTCGGAAGGGGATTATGAAGAACTCATTGAAAGCCATAATATGAATTACTTTTTCAAAATGAAATCCAAACTAGATCATACATAAACGAAGACCGTATAAGGTAAGCATATCTTGAGTTTAAAACCGACAATATGTAAAACAAAAAACCAATAAAGATTTTCAAACTGACGTACATTTTGTTCAATAACTTTACAATGTCAAAATGCAGAGTGACGATGTGGTAAAACTGTTATCATAGCAATATAATTATGCGACAGGTTTATATGTTGAATTTTTTTGTTTATATAGAGAGAGAGCCGAGGGGTGTTAGAGCACAGGGGTTTTAATAAGAAAACTTGACGCTCTAGACAGGAGGCTTAGACAGTGGTGGAAACTTCACAGCACGTGAACAGTAACTAAACTGAACAGTAGTTAAACCAAAGGGGAAAAAAAAAAAAAACACAAGTAAATAGTGTGTACGCTTATGAGATCTCTTCTTAGTCCCAGCGATCTGTAGCGTCCGGTGTATCACCAGAAAGTTGTCTAACACTTATATCAATTAGTGTGACTTAGGATAATTATTGTCCTGCAGATGTTCATCTGAGTTGCATCCTCGTTTTGTTTGACTTTCTAACAACCAACTCGAAACTGGTCGATATTGTTTGGTCGTTATTTGGTCGAAAATTAGAGTTAATAGAGAAAACCATCCTAAAGTTTTCCCTTGATCAGATTTGATAAAACAGTACAGTACAGTACAGTTGACGGACTCTTGACCACAATTAGTAGGATTTGGAATGTAACTGTCTGCCCATTCAACCTGAAAAACATCTGATGACTGTAAGCAAGGCCAAAGAGTGCTGCATTAGCACCTGCCGTATCACAGATCTTTTTAATAAAAGCATTGTAAAACAGTTTCCTGTTATTTTCTTCAAAAAAGAGATTGGTTTGACCGGTATAAATCGCTTTTYSRAMAWTMWT